AATTAAATGAGCAAAACATGCTTGTTTTATTTATTATTATTTTTTAAGTAGAGAAATTTTCTATGCTCAATTAAAAGAAATATCATTCGAGAAATTTCAGAACATTGAGAGCTTCAAAGGATTTATTAAGCAGTCCGTGGAGTTTTTTTTTTGTTTTGTCACCACATTTTCTACTGTTCTTATATCGATCAACAATTATCTCAATAAGATAATGGGATCGATGTTGTACGTTGATTAATAATCCTTATTTCTTTTTGTTGTTTGTCCTTCGAAATCTTCCTAGAACTTTGCAGTGATGAAATTTAATAGTAGATAACTATGAATAGACTTTTTTATACAACCGTTTTTCTTCAAAATCTTGTTTCGGTTTGATTTATACATTTTCAACATTGTACTACTACTTCAAATCGGGTCTGTTCAACGTTGAGTATTACGTAGATTCTCACCTGAAATTATTGACTTCTAATTCGAACCTCTTAGATGTCAATATCAGTGCAATAATCCTTCTTATACGAAACCGTATAAATCATTAATAAGAACTTTTATCAATCAAATAATTGCTTAGTACCCTGAATTCTGAACTTTGTAATTCGTTAGAGATCGCCTCGTTATTAGGTCTTGTATTCCATAATCTATATGGTAAATTTCTATAAGCTACTCTGTCCTGTAATGTGTAAAATCAAAATGTTAAGAAATCTGATGGAAATATATTTTGGTCATAACATGTAACTAGTGAAAATCAGATGAGGCAAAGCACAGATATGCACATTACTTAGAGATTAACAACAGTTGACCTTAGTAAGAGCACTATTTAAATATGTTTCAATCTAATTACTCAGATTCTATGAATTTACATAAGAATTTAGAGCTGTATTTACATCATTTATTTAGATCTTGAATGCTTCGTAAGCATAGGATATCGACTACACCATTCAGAATGATATTCTTTAAGGAAATGTATTCACGTTTCTGCCAATTTAATCCTACCATAAAATTCTTTCGTGTTTCCAATCTATTTCGCGTATCAAGAGTTTTGGGCTGAAAACTATGAGATTTTTACGCATCTCCCTGTTCTAAATCGTCTTGAAAAATATTTTGTTATTCAAGTTCGTATTCATTCTTAAAAAGTGAAGTTTTCTTATTCCGATGCTGATGAGCATGTAATATTTTATAAATGAGAAAATCACAAGTGAACTATCTGTAATATCAGCACTATTCAGATAGTCGATGTCTCTAGGCAAGTTTGTATCATTTAATTTGAAGTAGATATCAAGAATTGTCCAATTTACTTCAAGCGAAGAGAAAGTTAATAAGTAGAATGTCTTTCATTGATTTAAAATTTGATCATATTTGAACCCAAAACCTATTGAGAATAGTTATGAATGAGACTAAAATTTTGGGATAAAATTCTATGAAAAATTGGTTATGCTAGTCTTTGAAGCAAATTGTTTCATTTTCTACCCGATTGCATTAATCTAAAGAAACTTATAGAACATAGAGTTAGTATACCGACAAAATTGCACAGTGAAATATAATTAAAATTTCCTATTTCAGTTTATTCTATCAGTGAAATATTTTTTCAAGCCGATCAACAATCAGAGAACTGACGGCTAATTAGTGCAAAAGAGCATATAATCTAAGGATCGAATAAATTGAAGTCCTCTCTGTTGTAATACACCTAAAGATTCTTCACTTTCTAACATGAACGAAGCGGTTTAATAACATACATAGTGACAGATTGTTCGATATTACATACTGCTAGGCGTTAGACAACGTTGGCTTGCAACTTCAATAATCATTTTCACTTTTTACTATAGACACTAAACCTATTGCACTTGTATCAGAATCAAATCGGAGATAAAGGAGCACAAGGTCTCGCAGATGGACTAAAAGACAATAAAGTAAGCTACTTTTCCAGCTGATCTATCTATTATACATATGTTGCTAAATTAGCGTTTTCGCCAGTCATTTAAGCAAATAGTCAAGAACTTGTTCTAATGTTGTTCTACAGAGAACCACCTCTAATAAATAATGCGCGTGTGCATTTGAGTAAGGAAGATCATGGAAGTAGTTGTTGAGATCATTTTTCCTGTGACCGTTAATAGGCTGTTTAAGTGCAAGTTGCACTAGATTGTTGTCATTGAATGCAATTTTACATAGTTGAAAGTTGAGTTTAAGTAAATCTTTAGAATCTAATAGCTTTAGATATGATTTCATGTATGATATTCTGCCGAATATTCGTCGGCGACTCAGATTTTAAGTGATATTTCATTTTCGTAGCAAAAACTAAGATTTTGAAAACACTCATAATGGCATAGGCTTGATTAAGTGAGATCTTTCGAGAAAATTGGCACAGTTTGTTTGTTTGAGCTTGTTTTGATAAATCCTGATTGTTCGTGACTTAGTTTGTAACGATCCAACTTTGGACTAACATATCAGATTTTAGTCATTATGATAAAACTATGATCTATTATTAGTGATACGATCCAATGCAAGATTAAATTGTTTCTTCCAAATCTCTAAAGCAAATGATGAAACAATCAAATATTGAAAATAGACAGGAATGATTGAAATAACCGATGTCAAAATAATGCTCAGAGTATCATCTGTTTATTCATATGTACAATGGAGACAATCTTGAATTATTGTTCGTGCACAATTTAAACAGGTGATATGAAATTGCTCGGTCGACCTTTATGAAACTAGTTGAGAGCTATCTGATTTAGACAGTACTTGGTCTCACCAAACTTATACTAAACAGACATAGATTTCTTTAAACGTTACGTCAATTTTTCATTTATATAAAATTAAATTTCGAAATTGCTATTTTGAATCATATCGAAAACATCGTTCTAGCAGTTTCGAAGACTTTAGTAAAATAGATCCACCCAAATTTTGGCTTTTAGAAAAGTCATGTGTAGATATTCATTTCGTCACCATAATTAACAATAGAATCGAAGACTATTACCATAGGAAGACTCTCGACTTTAAGTTGTCAAGATCTCATTATCATACAGCTAAATGATTGGAAATAATGTGGTACTTAGTTAAATTTCATCTAAAAGAAGCAAAATTGAAATTATAAACCAATCACTTTCAAGTTCGATTACGAGTACTGGGAAATCATATTGTACAAATTGAATGCGTTGCTACATTCAATTTGAGCAAATTTGACAGCTTTCAACCATAGATTTCTATCAAGTGTAAACAACATGCTATGTATCAAGACGATATAGGATGTTAAGGCACTGTACTATCCGATCCCCTGCCATAGAAAACTTGTACTGTTATGAATTTCAGTCGCAAATTAAAAAATGATCGTTTTGATTTTGGATTCTTTGGTCAAAATATCGAAAGACTGAGGATATTCACCAGAGAAATATATCTCCCGGTCTCATAGCATGAAAGTATGGTCGTTTTCTGACTTTCAGCTCAAAAATTGAAAAAAATAACGATTTTTCCTAATTTCTGGTCTCAATCATGAAATTCTAGTAACGTAAAGAATCATAACTTGAAATAAAAGATCTAAGTGTTTGATTCCATTTTGAAAAAAGTTGGGTACCTCTCAGTTTTGACGTTTGTAAGACTTTCTCAAAATTTAGGGTTTTCTTACTAGTCAATTTTAGAAAATGAAACTATCGATTTCTTGTTATTGAATGAATTGCGACTGGAATTTTCATTTCAAACTAAAAAAGAATCCTTACATAAGGAAACATATTGGTCGAATTTTCTTAGAATGATTAATCTAAATCGTCAAGTTTTTTTTCTTTTATTTTACAGATTCTTGTAAGCATAGCAATGTTTCAAAAGTGTTCTTCTCAAAAACGTGTGCTTTTTACTAGTTTTTTATGACAGAGTTTTCTTTGAAATGATTTCTTTTTTCTATTTATATAGTTTTTGAACATTTTGAATATATATTCTAGTAATAATAACTGCTTTATGTTCTGTTTGAAGTATCGTCGCAGATCTTGGAATCCTTTCATTCTCACAATGTATTTTTATACAGAAATTGAACTATTTGAAAAGAAAATCTTCTAAAATTCGTTTGAATATGAAAAATATATCTTTGACTAATCATTATTGACTGAGTTTCTATATTTTGAATGAAAAGAGTAAAAACGGGGTTATCTGGAATATTTTAGCTAAAACTTGATTCTGAACCCAACAAAGAAGATAGATTACATGAATTTCGGCACGCTGAATTTTCAGTCTGTGCCCAAATTTCTGTAGAACTTTCGGCTCGTGATGTCATTGACTTCTAAAATAAAAAACCTAATTTTTTTTTAGTTAGATGCTAAATATCGTAGTGTTGAGCGGCACATCATAATGAGATATGGGTATGGGTGTCAATGAAGAGAAGACTCAGATCCAGATATTCACACTCCAGGAAATGTGAATTGTGTACGACGTTAAAATTAAAAGGATCTGTCTCAACTCTGTAAAGAAAATCAATTTTTAAATGTAAAATTTAACTATTTTCAATGATTTTTTATGCTTTAATTTATGTCAAAATTGTGACATGTAGCAATTTTTTTATATTTCTTCAAGACAATGACCGATTGTCTTGTAATTTGGACATAATATGCCTAGTGGATAGGCACTTCTACACAAAATGTTTCATTGAAAACTAATGAAGTTAAAGCGTGTAAATTAACGTTCCACAAAATGTCTGTTTTTCATGGTTTACTGGATGTCAGCTTCAGACACATCTTGGAGTCTTCAACTTCAAGAAAACGATTTTTTTCCTAAAAGAAAAGTATGTCATCTGATAGAGGTGAACCGAGTGAACAACTTTTCATGAACAAATTTTTTTTGAAAGCATTATAAGAGTAGGGGACTCGGTAAGAATTACTTTTTTTGCTGACATCAAAAGTAGCTGGAAAAGCCAAGTTGTTACAAATTTTGAAACTTTTATATTTCCGCCAAAGAACATCCAACCCATGAGTTATTGCAACCCTAGACTCGGTTGGGTCTCATCCATAAACTGATGAAATTTGAGGGTATATTGAGAAGTGTATCTCCCCCTTAAGGACAATAAGTGATCTACAAAAGTTTTCTTCATCTTGCATTTGAGTTTTTGTTGTTGTTGTCTGTTTCTTGCATATTTATCTATTGGTAACCATTCTGATTTCCGGTCAAGCAGATAAAGAGAGCAATGAGATATGATTTTAATAAGTTTCTGTTTCTGACTATCATCTACATGATCATTTTCCGTATAGGTCCTCACTCAGCTGTATCTTGGTGTGAATCAAATCACTGACAATGGGGCACAATATTTTGCGGATGCTCTAAAAAACAATAAAGTAAGCTACTTTTCTAGTTGATGTATCTATTATACTTAGGACATACCTAAAATAATTAGATTTCAAAGAAAAAGAACACGAAAACAAGTAAATTAAGACTTTCTTTTACCAAGTGTTCGAAATAGTTACTGTGTTTATTTAAACTTAATTTTTATCTGTGCGAATATTGTTATCACATTTTTTTGTAGTAATCGTTAATCAATGGAATCACTAATTTGGTGTTAATATTTGAATTATTGAGAGTTGCTTTGGTCAGCTAAACTTCATTAGATCAAGTTGAATAAGAGTATGAGAGAATAGAAAACGAACATTCACATTCACCCTGACACCATTGCCTACATTCTAAAATAAAATATAAAAAGAATTTTTTCATTTGTAGAAAACTCGATCGATTAACGATCACTTGAACATTTTCACAATCATTCTTACCATAGAAAACAATAATCATTTATTTAGAATTTCAAGCGGTTAGCTATTTCAAATTGTATCTCAGAAGTTCTGAGGAATACAAGCATAACTAAACCAATTTAAACAGCATCTTTTGGGTTCGGTGTTGTTTAATTTTGATGAAAGTTGACCACTGTATCAGTTACAGAAATGATAGTTGATATAAACATTTTTTTCTTAAAGTTAGCTGAAGAAATTTAACTTGTTTTAGTCATTTTAAATAACACTATGAAAAGTCAATTTTTTTAATCGAACATTCGATTTATGAAACTTTGAACTATAAGACGAGAAAAGATAAACTTGAAAGCACTCAAAACATTGTCTTTATTTTCCTTACTTTTATTATTATAAAATGTTTCGAAGTTTATTTCAAGAATGACTTAGAGTGTTGATCCCTTCTTGCATGTTTAGTGTTCTAGTTGAAGTTTTTCTGCTCAACTTTCTAAAGTATACTTTTTTGATATACTATTGTATCGAATTCAATATTGAATCTATTAGAAAACAATTAGCTTGAAAGAGTAGAAACTAACATACTGAAAGTAGTGAGATCCTCGTTTAAACATGGCAATTCATGAAAATCTAAGGAGTGTCATTCGAGAAATTTAAGAGTGATAAATATTCTGAAAACTTGGATATCGAGCCCCACTCGATGATTTTGCTGCTGTTTTCTTTTTTTTACTCCTCTTTGTCTCATGCCTCAATATTCAGACTCATCATCAATCATATAAATGGATTAAGGAGGTTATTTTAATTAGTTAAAGGCCCTCAGAGTATACATATTTTCTGTTTCATTCAGACACTTACTGCACTGGGCCTTGGCAGCAATATCACCGATAATGGGGCACAAATACTTGCTGAAGTACTGAAAACGAACGAAGTAAGCTCTTATTTTTCAGGAGATCTATCTACCGTAGGCGACGACTTTCTCATGAAACATACATTAAATTATAGATAATTGACACCCAAATACGAGATTACTATCGCAAGATTCTAGAGGCGGAAGTATTAAGATCGTATTTTTTAAATGTTGAGCAATTGTCAAAAATCTACTACATGTTCAAATAGGATCTAAAATATGCAAAGTTGAAGTTCCTCACGAACTGTTTTCAAATTCAGTTGGGTGTAAGAATGAGATATAGAGCTTTGTAGAATAATTCTACCCTCCTACCCATCGGGGTAGGGTAAGAATGAGAAAATTTTTCTCAGTGAGAGTAAAGAATACAAAAAACGCTTATCCCACATCCACACTCTTTAATGTAGTATTCCTTTCCTAAGCGAAATAGAACATATGTAATGCTCTCTAGTTTATCTATCTTTTCCAATAGTTCTTTACTTTTTCTTAAGATATAAATCGAATAAAAACATAGCTCAATGAGGAACTTTTGTTTATTTAGCAATATATTGTTTTTTTTGTAATATCAGTTCACTCCATACTTATGGATATCGACAAGGCCTACTCTACCAACGTTATATCATTTCTCAAATCGGTTCTTCTTTACTGTGCTCGACTAACTGAGCCCGTACAAAAAAAATGAGACTCGATCACCTATCCTTTATTGAATTCATTTTCTTCATTAAAACTGAATTTTTTAATGAATAGTCATAGATCATATTATTCAAAAAATTTAAGAATATTAAGATCACGAAAAATCTCCCTCAGCTACCACTTAAATTTTATTATGTTTGCCTTGTTTCCAAATTTTTTTTACAAACTCTTATGACCAATGAGGTAATGAGCAAGTGTGAATGAAGTGCTGATATACCTTTAAGAAATCAATAGATATATTTCTTGTGATCTATTGGAATATAACAAAACGTTTTTGTTCAAACTAAAGACGAGATTATGTCATAATTAAAAATATTAGTGAAATACTCTGATAAAGACTTATCTGCATATATATAAGGAGTAGTAGTTATTTCTCTTCTATCATATACTTCTCTATTCAGAACAATATACCAGAGATTTTCTTCCTCGTTTTCTTTTTTATTTTCTATGATTTTTGTTGAAAATTTTAAATACAAATCTTACGAACTTATATCTAATTCGCGGAAAAGTTGCTAAGATCAATCAAATATTTTCGATCATAATTCTCTAAACTGATATCAAAATATTTTCCTCAGAGAAAAAAACATCCTGAACTACATTAAAATGTTCGAAATCGTTATTTGTAGTAAATCATTGCTCTTGTCTAAATATTTTGATGTGAAATAGTCAAAACTTATTTTCAATGCTTTGGCTTAAGATCCCATTTAGGATCTAAACAATGTAAAAGTGAAGTTTATCATTAACTATTTTCAAGTTCAGTTAAGAATATTTTAGAAATGATATTTTAAAGTTTCAATAAAATCCTATGATAAATTTGACCAAATTTCATATTTTTCGATCATAAATTCGTAACAAACGAAAGCAATGTGATATATCCAGATAGAGTAATATTTTATACGAATTGCATTTATTAAGATCTTGAACATTTTCGTAAGCATAGAACATAATTTATATCATACAGAATATTTCTCTTTAAAAAAATATATTTGAATTTCTATCAGTATCATCGTAACATACAAGTCTTATGTTTCTGTTCAATATAATCTTGAAAAATATTTTTAATTAAAACAGTTACTCTCCATTTTTTTAAACTGAACTGTTGGCGTTAATAAGCTAATGATCACACAATGTCACATTAATAAGAAAACTTCAAGTAAATTTATGATAATTATTTCTTTTTCTCATAGTCAATATGTCTCTAGTCATGTCTGTGTCATTAACTTTCAATTTGATTTTGAGAATCGTCCATATTACTTCAAGCACTGAGAGAATAGTTGAAAATGAGAATAGAGTTTAGAATAGAATTCTATTAATAATCGTTTACGGTGATTCTTCAAGAGATTTTATTCAGTTTGTATCCAATTACATCGGTCTATAGAAAGTCTCTCTTCTTATTGGATATGTAAAGTTGTTGTTTATCTTACAGAGCAAATTAAACTTTCTCGTACAGGCAATCAACTCTGTTTTATCACATAGCTAAAGACTATGAACAGCGTTGAAATGTAATTCCCATAATCATTCTAATTTTTTAATATAGATATTAACCCATCTGTATTTAAATCAAAATCAAATCACGGACAATGGAGCACAGCATCTAGCCAATACACTAAAAGAGAATAAAGTAAGCAACCTATTCAGGTTATATATCTAATATAGATGTTCACTTTCTCATATAAATTTATATGAAATTATTAATAATCAACGCTTAAATCAGAGACTATTGTTGTACAAATCCTGAGGCTAAGTTACCAAAATACCTCATTTTGCCAACATTGATAAATTGGCAATAGTGTGGTACGTGTTCACATAGAATCTATAGAATGCAAAGTTGTACTTCCTAACAAACTTCTTTCAGTTTTAATTCAGGATTTGAAATCATATTTTTAAGTTCGAACGAGATCAAATATTAATTTCGGATAAAGTTAACATCTTTCGACCGTAAATTCTTCTCAAATATGAGCAACACACTGTGTGGAATAGTCAAAAATCGCATAAGAAATGTACTGATTCGTTGTACAACACAAAATATTTGTACAACAATGAATATCAGTTCAAAATAACAAACTAATTTTGTATGGGAAATCTGAAAAAACGAAGTATTTTTTTGGTCAAGAGAAGTGAGCTCGAAATGTTTGGAATCAATTTTACAGTTCATGGATTGACTAAAAAGATGATTGCAAGCATTTAAACCTCTCTTTTCTTGATTAGTATCTTCCTGATTTTCTGGTATAAAAATATCGGCAAACGAATTCTATTTTATTCTATTCATACAAGAAAATTTCTACTTGTGTTATGATTTTTCATAATCCAAAGAATAATAATTGTTGTGTTCATTAAGAGTAGAGTTATAAACATGTTTGCACTCAAATACGATCCATATTCAAACAATTATTTTGAATTATAATTAAATCATTTATTTAGATTTTGAACACTTTATAAAACATAAAACGTTAACTATTCTATTTTGAATGATACCTTTTAAGGAAATATATTTGTCATTTTTCTTAATATAATT